AATTGGTGTAATGTCACCTGCAACTTATCCAAGTATCTCCGCATTCGTTCCTCTTTTACTTCAAACGTCCTGTTTACTTGGTTGACGACAAGGAGGGAATCACTTTTGGCCTCGATCACCTCGGCCCCCAGGCTCTTAGCCAATTCTAGAACTGCAATCATAACCTCATATTCGGCTTCGTTGTTAGTCAATTTTACAGTTCTAATACGATGCTCAGCCGGGACCCATATGCATTGGAAGCACCATCCGTAAATAGGGTCCAGATCCCCGAGCTAGTCCTCGAGGTGAGCAGTAATTCCTTCTCAACATTGGAGATCAAGGCCGGCGTAATATCAGCCACGAAGTCCGCCAAATTCTGAGATGTTATGGCGGTTTGGGGTTTGTACTCGATATCGTACCCGCTAATTTCTATGGCCCATTTGGCCAGCCGGTCTGAGAGCTCGGGTTTGTGTGTAACATTTCTCAGTGGGTATGAAGTTACGACACATATGGGGTGACACTGAAAGTACGATTTTAATTTCCTAGATTTGCACTTAATAAGGCGAGCACTAAATTTTCTAAGTATGGATACCTTGTTTCAACATCGCCTAGGGTTCTACTAACATAATAAATAGTAAATTGCGTACCTTCTTCTTTCTGGACCAGGGCACCACTTACCGCCACTCAAAAACTGCTAAGTAGAGGTATAATTGTTCGTGCAACAAGGGAGGGCTCGATAGGTATCGTTTGAGTTCTTCTAAAGCTCGCTGGCACTTCGGGGTCCAAGATAAGTCGTTCTTCTTTTTTAGTAATGAGAAAAACCGGTGGCTCTTGTCCAACGACCTCGAAATAAACCGGCCCAGTGTGGCTATCCGCCCGCTCAGTCTTTGTACTGCCTTGACGTTGTCAACTACGGTGATATCTTCTATAATTTTATTTTGTTCGGGTTGATCTCTATTCCCGAATTGGGTACTATGAACCCGAGGAACTTGCCCGAGCTGACCCCGAAAGCACACTTCTCCGGGTTTAGCTTCATGTTATATTTCCTCAATATGTCAAAGGTTTCCTGTAAATGCTTCAAATGGTCCTTTGCTCGCAGGAACTTAACCAACATATCGTCAATATACACCTCCATAGATTTCCCTATTTGTTCTTCGAACATTTGGTTAACTATGAGTTGATACGTGGCACCGGTATTTTTTAGCCCAAACGGCATCACGTTATAACAGTAGGTGCCGAATTTGGTTATGAAAGAAGTCTTTTGGTTGTACCTAGAATAGGCGTTGAGAAAACTTAGTATCTCGTGTCCAGCCATTACATCGATCATTCGATCGATGTTAGGCAAAGGGAATGAATCTTTCGGACATGCCTTGTTTAGGTCCTTATAATCTATTCTAAGTTTGTTTCCTTTTTTAGGTACGACTACTACGTTAGCTAACCAATCCGGGTACTTAACTTCTCGAATGGAACCTATTTTCAAAAGTTTAGATACCTCATCTTTGATGAACGCGTGTTTGATCTCAGACTGGGCCTTCTCTTTTGTTTGACCGGGTGGAACTTTGGATCCAGGCTCAATTTGTAAGTTGCCACTTCCGGTGGGATCCCTGTCATATCTAAGTGGGACCGGGTGAAACAATCGGCATTAGCTTTAAGAATATCAATAAGACTTTTCTGAGCTTGAGAGATAGTCCCGTGCCTAGGTATACCTTTCGATCCGGTAGGTGCTCGATCAGTATAACCTGCTCCAATTCCTCGATTGTCAATTTAGTATCATCGGTGTCATCGGGTGCTATGAAAGATCTCGGGATGCCATAATCATCCTCCTCGTCCGCTGTGTGCCCTTCTTATTTTTCGGCCCGATTAAGGTCGGGATCATTGATTTCTATTTGGTTTCCTTTTCTTCGACTAGTCCCCTATTTTTTGATATCGAGACCGCGGGCACCGGGGTCACTTCATCGATAACGAACATCTCCTTTGCGGCCGACTGTTCCACGTAGACTGTTCTGACTTATTCCGGAGTGGGAAATTCCAAGGCGTTGTAACTCATATCCCCCTCGATCACATAGAACTTTATTTTACTGGGTGGTCCTAGTAGTGTTTACTGGTAAATTTATTTCACTCTTCATTGTCTCGCACGCCATGTTGAATCCGTTCAACATCCGAACGTCGGTATGATTTGGTCCAATAATCCAGTTGTTCTATGACCCTCCATCGGATAATATTAGCCGAGCTACCTGGATCGATCAACATAGGTTTAACTCGAGATTTATTGATAATCATGGATATTACCAGTGCATCATTGTGAGGCTGGATGATGCCCTCGGCATCTTCATCGCTGAACGAGATGGCCCCTTCCTGGACGCAATCCCAGGTGCGTTTTTTGCTTGTGGTAGAAACTTTGGTGAGTTTTATCATTGTCCCCTAAGGGACATCCACTCCCTCAATGATCATGTTGATCACGTGTTGGGGCTTCTCTTATTCAACCTGTTTGTTGGCGTCCCTGTTTTTGAAATGATTTTTGGCCCGTTCGCTTAGGAATTCTTGAAGATGCTCGTTATTGAATAATCGAGTCACTTCTTCCCTTAACTGTCGACAATCTTCGGTCCTATGACCGTGAGTACTATGGTACTTACACACCGAGCTATGATCCCTCAGTGCAGGATCAAACTGAAGTGGTCTAGGTCATTTGGTCTCTTTGATGCGACCTATGGCTGGCACTATACTTGCAGCATCCACATTGAAATTGTACTCCGATAATCTGGTGCTTCCCTACCCCTGAGCGACCTGTCAAAAGCGATTTTACTCATCAGACCTTGGTTGCTAGGTCCTTGATCATTTCTCCTATCGTTCCTAGTTGGGTGGCGATCAGATTCATTTCCCCTTCTGTCCAAGCCGTATGGCTGATACCGATCTCGGACCTGCCTTGGATCCTAGTTGATAGTCCTCTTAGATATGTCATTCGCTCTATTGGGGTAAACAGACCCCGAAGGGCCCCCAGCCGGTCGTCTTCAACTGATACCTTTTATGGACATTGGCCCAAGTAACAGTCGGGTACTCCACCAAATTTTGCTTCAATTGTTAAGAAGCAATGGAACTTCGGGGGTTGAGCCCTTGAGTAAGTGCCTGAATGGACCAATCATTCGTGACCGGGGGTAGGTCCATTCGCTCTATATGGAACCTCGACACAAACTCCCTAAGCATCTCATTATCTCTCTGCTTGACTTTGAAAAGGTCTGATTTCCTCGTCTCGATCTTGATGGCGCCAACATGGGCCTTCATAAAAGCATCCGCAAGCATAGAAAATGAATCAATAGAATTCGGAGGCAAGTTATGATACTATATCATCGCTCCTTTGGACAGGGTTTCCCCATATTTCTTCAATAACTCTGATTCGATCTCGTCGTCTTCCAGGTCATTCCCCTTGACTGCGCACGTATAGGAGGTTACATGCTCGTTAGGATCTGTGGTCCCATTATACTTGGTAATGTCGGGCATTCAGAATCTCTTCAGGATTGGCTTCGGCGCCGCACTCGGGGGAATGGCTTCTGAATGAATATTTTGGAAAATCTGGTCCCTTCAATATTGGAGGTGTTCCCGGGATCTGATCGACCCTAGAATTGTAAGTTTCCACCTTCTTGTCGTTGGCCTCTATCTTTTATCACCTGACTCCACCCGCTTTGTCAATGCTTCGAGCATCTTCATTACCTCGAAAGTTTCCCCGGACCCGAATTCATCTGGTTCCACGACAATTTGTCCATCCCTTCGAGTGTTTTCTCTAACCCGTTCGGGCTCGATCATGTTAGGGACGTGACTTTGGGTCTGGAACTGTGCTATTGCCGCTTGCTGAGCTTGCAATATTTTGAAAATTAACCGCAGGCTAACCCCATCAACTTCCCCTTCGGGTGCTTCTCGAGCTGATGGCCTGGGTGCCCCACGAATACTGTTTTCAGGGTCAGTTAGCAGGTTGATGTTGATGAAAACCTGTGAGTTAGCGTCGACCGAGTCAACAACTAGGACATCATTGGGATCAATAGGGGGCACGTCATTGCTAGGTACCACGTTATTGTTTTTACCATGGTGGCCTGACTCGGTGTCAACGTTCAAATGAGAAGACTGAGAATTTGACATTCTTAGGTAAACCTGAAATCAAATTTCAAAGAACAAGTATAAAATAGGGTGTGTTATGGAGATTCGTATTAAATCACCACTATTATCCTTTACCCCATGGTGGGCGCCAAATTGTTTACCCTATAAATGAGTAACAATTAAATTTATAAGCGATTTAATGGACACGTGATTTAATTTAACATGAATTATCTAAGAACAATAAATAATTAAATTAAAGAGAGATAAAACGATCAATCCAAATGAGATGGAATAATTGAGCCTGACTTTAAGTTGAACACTGAAAACTGGCACCGATCGAGCCCTCGATACGAGCTCATTTGTAACTAAAGAAAGGAAGAACTAAAAACACTTTGAACAACGAGCTAGAAGACAAAAATGAACTTTATTACTTTGATATGAGTGCCAACAATAATTTAAACTAAAAAAGTTCTCCCCTTTATATAGTAGGGGAGTTTCAATCCTAGTACAAGTCTAAATAAGGTAAAAATCTTCTTTTTTTCGGTAAATGTCGATCTGTAGTTGATATCAAACGGGATTTGTACTGTAATATCTGGTTGAGGGCGGATATTACGGTTCCTGCTCATCGTGCTTAACCGTTTCTCTTTTTCCTTAGTCCCGAAACTTCACTCTGCCCGGATCCGATGTTCAGCCGTGTCCGATTTCAGATGCATCATTCGTCCTCCCCGGGCTCCGCAACGAGGAACCTTTCGACTTCACTCGAAGTTACGTCAGATCATGCTGCCCTCTCGTTTCTTTACACCCGTACACACTTCTCTTGTTTTACAATAACCTATAAACCCATTATTGGGATGCCTATGTTCTTTTTTTCTTTTTTCTTTTTTTTTTCCCACAAAGAACTATGAATCAATAGGAGTAATCATAGAAAAGAGAGGTAACGCAAACCAATTTTCAAACTTCCATTAACAATCTCAAAAAATGTATACATTGAATACTCGTATAATTATTAAAATTTGGCTGAGGAAAAAAAATGTTTTTTCTCTTTCACTCAAAAATGAATACATTGCTTTTTGACTCGCCTTTCTTCTTTGTCTCTCTTGGTGCAGTCTTCAGCCTGCTTTCCCTACATTATGCTTCGTATGTGAAATTTAACTCCTTTAAAAAAGGCCTCTCCAATTTTAGCATTTTGGAAGATCCTTAGGAGGTGGCAAAAGGGACTCATTTGGGCCTTTGCCATTATCTACAAGCCATGCCATTTTCAATCCCCATGTTGTGTGTATCTCTAGATGACAATGCATAAACCAAACTCCTGCAATTTCAAATATAATTAAAATACACTAATAACATAAAATATTTTAAAACTTTAAGTTAAATGTTAGGTGTGCAAATAAAGTCTCATATTGGTAGCTAAAAAGATTGTAATTCTACATAAAAAGTGGAGGAATTTCTTAATGGGGTTAGGTCTTTTGAGTAAAACCGTGGGGGCTTGGTCCAAAGCGGATAATATATCATCATATTAAAAGTATCTTTGGGTCATTTTAGCCCAATATTGTATCTAACAAACAATGATGTATATACCTGGATTGTCAGCACGAAATCTTATAGCAACCCATCCTCCAGCAGGAACACCAACTGTATTCCTCTCAACAGGATCCACAAGATTAAAATTCTTAGGATCTGTTTTTGGATTAAAATTTCCTATGCCTTTACCCACTAGAAAAAAATTGAAGCCATGCAAATGGATTGGATGGTTCTCAGGGGCTATAATTCCAGTATCCTGCAAAACCAATTGAACTGTATCGTTATACCGCAGCCTATAAACCTTAGTCCCATTCATCGTCGCCAAATTAGTTGGTCCTGTTCCCGTATAGTTGAAAGCAAAAGGCGGGTTTGCTGGAAAATCTGTCGTGAAAACTCCTTTAGTCCCAAAGAAATGTGCTTGTAAAAGGGCAACCGTTGGCATAACGAATGTAACATTGTTTACACTAGCCACAACTCTGCTTCCATTACCTTGTTTGCAAGTTGGGCATGGATTAATCCCTAAACCTACCGTGAAAAATAGGGAATGATCAATTTTTTTGGGAACTTTAGCAGGGTATTTTTTGGAATTCAGGCTTCTTAAAGAATCAAGAAAAGTGTTGGCTACAGGGGTGGCATTTTTAGGTGGTGTACTAGTAAGTGAAATGTGGCTATTTCCTTGTGTGCCAGAATAATGTAAAGTGGCTATTGCTGTAACATTATCAACAGCAATTGGTGCATCCATAAAAGGTGAAGCAGCAACCATGTATTTTCCAGAACCTTGATTGGCAGTGACAATTACATTTGTTGTTTGGCCAGGAGCAATTACAATTGTGTCTGTTTTGAAAGGTTTAATGTAAGTGGCATCAACTTCAACTACTGTCATTTTATGGCCAGCAATTTTGAAAAAGAGTTCTTCATTGAGCGCAGCGTTGATGACTCGTAACATGTAGGTTTTTCCTGGATCAACGTTCAATTTGTATCCACCTGTATATTATATGGTCCAAAAAATGTCATGTTTTTTGCTCTTTACCAAAAATTGGGGTATACTTAATTCCCCTTTTTTTCTATCAGTATATCAAAGCTAAACTCGTATAAGTATTACCTTGTGATGCGCAATTTGAGACGGGTCCCGGATGACCATTAATAGTGTGAGCATCAGAAACATTAGGGGCTAATCCTGATTTTATGGCTTCATTAATCACAGCTTCGGTATCAGATTTCCACCATTCAGCTGCACCACATTATCAAAATCAGTAAAACTTCCAATTTTATAGTATATAAATATTTCAAGAAAATAATGATACTACTTTGGTTTAAGGAAGTTAATGTTTTTTACCTAGGATCACGACAGCTTCGTGGTTGGGTTTAGGGAATGGATAAGGCACTCCAAGGTTAGGCAAGATAACAATTGCACCATGAACAGTGGCCCTTAGCCACAAAATATGAGCATGCCAAAATAGTGTACCCCTTTGGCCTGTAATAGTGAAGTTATACACATAGTTTTGCCCTGGCTGAATTGGACATTGTGTGATGTATGCTGGTCCATCTGCCCAACCTGTTCTAAGTTGTCTAATACCATGCCTGTAAAAAAAATGTTATCATTACTTTAATCCATTGTATTAGATAATCTGTCTTATGTTCCAGGTTACTAAATTCGTCCACTTTTTAAGAACGGTTACTTGTGCGGAGCTAGCTAGGTGGAAGGAAGGGGTTCAACTGAATTTCCTACATCGAAAAAGTTATATTGTCTTAATAGATAAAAACAAATAAAGAAGAATTCACCTAAATAGCCGATCATCCGCCAGTTTAAAACAAAAAAAAATGACGGATATATAAAATATGTATAATAATATGTACATAACCATGTGTAATTTATCTATATATACCAGTTAGGAAAGTAAACAGTGAATCATGCTAGCTATTTGTGTAAAGATCCCAAATATAAGTTGGATATATATAAATTGATAAATCCCCTAGTGTAGTGACAATTATTATTTAAAAATTGCTTTACGTTACAAGTTTAGATCTCAGGTGTAATTTTTTGTATTTGTTTTTTGAATCCTCTTATGGAAAATCCTGACTTCGTATTGTACAATAGTTAAAGTCGTAGATATTAGATGACTTACCAATGGATAGAGAGATTATACTTGACATGGTTAACAACTTTGACAAGTACTGTGTCACCTTCCCGAGCATAGATTGTAGGTCCTGGAAATTTTCCATTAACAGTAACAATGGGCTTGGATGAACAAAGGCGAGTCGTGTTCTTCATTACCACCTGCCATGCAACAATTAAACATTATTATATTTATAGCTATGAATTTTGTATTTTTTATATTAAAAAGTCACTGTGTTGATGTATAGTTGACAAATTATTTTGATAGTAAATATATTGATTTTGCTTGTCTTGGCGTCAACTGATTTGTTTTTATAGACCAACCACCTTTGTTAATTGGAAATTTCTTTTACCTAATTTTTGTTGCCTTAGAGTTCGAAACATCTACTTAACAGTTAACAGAGCCAATCATTCTGGATTCATAGACTTTGTGACAGTTTGTTAATAGTGGGATGGAATTGCCAAAATTTTCTGGTTTTCCTTATTTATATTATTATTATTGCTGAGGCAAAAGAAAAGGAGAAAATTCTTTTTTCTCTAGAAGAAAATGGGCCCAATATTTATTAACAAGTCATTTCAAGAAACTTATAATAGATGATTCTCTTCACATTTTTAACAGATTGAATGAAAATTAAGTTGTTTATTGTTAAAAAAATTGATACTGAAAGAAGAAGAAAAAGGATACTCCATTTAAATATAAAAGCACTTAGAAACATGCAGAACGCTTTCTCAAAAGATTGATTCTTTGACTTTGGATTATATAGCAGATCTCGGGGAATATGAAGCTTGTTATCACACTTATCTGAAATTGGTTGAGTTTTTCCTAATCATATATTCTCTCTTTAAGTGCCGACAACATTCTCTTTTGTAGAACATAATCTCAAAACGTTAGAGCCTTTTTATAACATACTCCCTCCATCCCAATTTATGTAGCACCGTTTAACTAGACATAAAGTTTAAAAAATAAATAAAGATTTTTGATACTACTGATTTAAGCCTTAAATATTTGTATGACTACAAATTATTTCACTAAGCGTAAAATAAAATTTTTTAACTTAAATTATTTCTAAATATAGAAAGATGGTGTTATTTTTGCGACAAATTAAAAAGAAAAGTATGACATATAAATTGAGAGAGAGGGAGTATATGTCTTTCCATATTACAAATTATCCAACATTTGTGACTATGGTAATATCAAGAAACTTGCATATTGTTGTTTACTGATGCAAGAAGGTAATTAATTAAGCTTATTAACTACGCATTCACAAGGGAAAAAAATAGTAGTGGTAGTAGTAACAGTGCTAATAGTACTTACATTGAACTTGTAATGTCGAATCCTGCATTCAACGACAAGAGGAAAAAGACAAGCTGCCAATACTATGAAAAGACGAATCCAAGAGTTCATTTTTGTCTCTTTCTTGAAATTTCTGCAATTGGACTTCTATTTACAATTGTGCTATAGAGAACGAATTGAAATGATTTTCTTTTTAGTTCTGATTTCTTGTAATCTTGTTGTATTCAGGAATGACCTGCCAACGCAAATATATATATATATAGTTGAAAGTGCCTTAATTTTCCGTTGTGTCATCATTTTCTTCAGTTAGGTGAGATGGATGTTTTGGGGTCATCTCTACTTCTTGAACAGCAATTTAATTTCTTTCATGCAATTTCCCCCTCAATCATTACTTGCATTTTACATAAAGTTCTAAACTCTGTGGACCATCATAAATTTGCTAGTTAAGCTATTAGTTTGTTTCTGTGAGAAACAAAGTTCCTTTGGGATTTAATAATTGTCTTTATTAGTTGTCTAAAAAAAGGCACCTCATATGTGCAGGGTCGGGGAGGTCGTATCATATAAATGCAATAGGCCGCTTTTAGGGGTCTGATATGGTTTCATGTGAATTTATGCCCAACTCCCTAAATTATGTATAACAATATTATATTTTTTTTAAAATTATTTAAATATATACACGTGCACCAATACTCAAAGATTTCTATGGTGTAATAATTATTGAGTGCACTCTACGAGTGAAATTGGTCGTTCAGATTCCACTTTAGATGGTCTTGTTTTCGGCAAGGGATATAAATATATACGTGAAAATCACTAAAATTTTCAAAAAGAATATAATTTTGAACATATAATTTCAAAAGTGTAGTGGGTTCATGGTAAGAGACTAAAGTTAAACACGTCAAATGTAAATTCTAGATCCATCTCTTCACATTAGTGCACCCATCCTCCTAAAATCATGCTGCCGCCTCTGCGTTTTCCAAATGCATTCATTAGTTGGGTAATTAATATAAATTCATAACTATCTAAATGCTTATGTCAACTAAAGTTGAATTAAGGCGTAACTGATTGAACTATCTAAAAGCAATCTATGATGCTTGATGGTCTTCATGTCCCACGTACAACAGATCAATTAATTCAAGGTTTTGAAATTTCAGTAATTTTATAATATGGTTTTAAAACTAACTCAGCAAAGTGGGAACTGCATGCATGGGATGAAAATGGCTTCTCATGAAGAATATGTACATGGCCCCTACAGTTTGCTACGTCGCGGTTTTTTTGACGGTCGATTTGACTAAAATAAGACATTATAAATTTGTCCAAGACAAATGATACTTAAAACCACACGTATATTTCTGAAAGTTGAAAAATATTTATAGCTCAAAATGTCAAAATAACTTTTTTCAAAGTTTTCGATCTAAGTTTGATACAACGGACTATTAGAACGAGAAGGATGAAAAATGTGTCGATTGTCTCAGACTCACAAATAAATCATAGGCTAAAAGCGAATGAATGATTGCAAAAGGAGTACTCAATCCAACTTAAAAGCTAAAATAACTTAATGGAAAAAGACTCTTTCGAACTTTTATATTTTTGCAAGCATAAAGATGTCGAAAAGTAAGTCTAGAAATTAAAGAAGGTCTTGTTAAAAAGGGAATTAGCTAACATAGTAATTCAAGGTCATTACAAACTAAATAGGATATGTATAACCATATTTATTACTACAACATTTTAAGGGTAAATACTTACTTGCATAGTGTATTTACGCCAAACTATATTAATATACCATGGTTAAGTGATTTAATGAGATATAAATACATATAATTCACAATGGGTAAGTGTTTGAAGTCCATGTGCAAAACACATGTCATGTATCTATTGTTTTGGAGTAAATATCTGGTACGCGTAAGTTTTAAATCTCATAGGCTTTTTATCATCAAAACAAAAATATAGGTTTCCCTTATTGTAGCTTGATTTATATGTCTATGGCAACATTAAAATGACTAAACCAATCCTTAATTCTTCTTCTTTTGTTTTCTTAATAAGTCGCCATAACCATGGTATTGTTTGATGAACTACCGGTACATTAATATTCAAAACAAAGGTATGCAGAATCTCAACAAAGTAATAACTGTACTAATAATTAATATTAATTAGCCAGGACCCGTTATAAAAACGATTATTATTTACCAAAAAAGATAGAAAATGAATTAGGAAGCTTCTTTTTTATGGGCGTCAGTAAAGATCTAGTAATCATATTATCATAGAACCTTAGAAATTTGATAACAGATATGACTCCTACCTACTAAATCTAGTAGTTACGGTTGTTAAATTGATTTCATGGGTTTGCATCATTTTACTCTTTGCTATATCTATAAGCCATTATACATTGTTTCAAGGCAAAGATTAAGCCAACCGTGGGTTTTAACAACTTATTAGTTGTCAATACTCCTTTGCTCCAGCTCCTACCCACCCCTAAAAATCCTTCCAATTTCAAGCACAGTATATTGATATAGATTATATGTGTTTAGCCCTTAAAATGGATAACAATTAAATTTATACGCAGTTCAAAGGATATGTAGTTTAACTTAACACAAATAATCAAAGAACAGTAAATAATTGAATTGAAATGAGATAAAACGATCAAACCAAAGTGACGTAGTAATTAAGCCTTGTGTTTAGCTTAAATGCCAACGGTTGGTCTCGATCGAGTCCTCGAGATAGAGTCCGGATACGAATAAACGAGTGAACAACTAAAGAATACTTAAAATAGTCAAAGTAAATTTTATTACCTTGTTACACGTGAAAGTAGTCCACAAAAAATGAAAGGGTCCTCCTCTTTATATAGTAGAGGAGATTTAACCCTAGTAAAGTCTAAATAAAGTAAAAATCTTTTCTTTCCTTCCTTCCCACGAAAATAAGATCCGCAGCCAATACCTAGTGTGATCCGCACTGCAATATCCTACTGATGGCGGATATTTCGGCTCCTCGTTTGCCTCTTTTGACCGCATTTTCTTTACCCTCGATTATTCATCTCACTAGAGCTTGATTCCCTCCGGATTCAGTGCTCAAGACCCGCTATATCATTCGTCTATTCTTGGTTCTGATCTGTAGGTATCTTCGGTCTCACCCGAGCCAGTAACCAGCAACGTCGTTTCTTGTTTTACAACAGGAAATCGGGGGTAACTCTATCCTCGATTTTACCCACATACAAATAGTCCCCTCACTTCTTGGAGAGTAGATTGTAGGAGCGATGAGAAGTGACTAATTGACCCCGGTTCCTTCTCTCGTAAATCATGCGCAAGCTGATGAACTGAAACGTCCCATCAGTCACGTCGCTCTGACTTTGGACACACGTCAAACGTCGATTGTACAACCTCAGTAGTTACCGAATAAGGAATGTCTCTCAATCATTACTCTTTCCCTATAAAAGTTCTGGTTTCTCACTTTCACTTTTTTTTTGCTTTCTAACTTCAGATTTCCCTAAGTTACCTTCCAGCTTTTCATATCTTCATCCGTTTGTCGATCCTTCAAACCTTCATAACTTGTTCTTCATACCTTCATATCTTCATAGTTTATCTTCTAACTTTCATACCTTATCTCCAAATCTTCATATCAAATCTTCAAATCTTCATATCAGATCCCCAGATCTTCATATTCCCAGATAGGGATGGTGAAGACTTTAAAATTGGTACCTCAAAACACTGCATCGACGACCTCTTCTTTAGCCACTGCCAGTGCCTACGGTAGTAGCCTCGGGACCTCCTCTTACATATTTTATCCCCGGCGGTTGTTCCATAGATAATAACATTAAAGTCGAGAAAGCATCCGCATAAGGAGATCGGGGTGAGGAAGCATGGAGGTATGCCTGCTCCATAACCAAGGAGACACTCAAGCCTGTCTGAGAGGACTGTAAATGGGAAGACAAGGACGTAGTTGTTCCCAGTCCTGATGAGGCAATCACAACACACGTGGAAGGAGACTTAAGTTTTTACACGTATCCTTTCACATTTAGTCCTGTTGATACGGTAGTCCTCGAGTTTTGCAAAAGATATGACATTTGCGTCGGGCAAGTTCATCCATCCTATTGAAGGACTGTGAATCCTCTCTGCCACTTTGCGAATAATATGAAGGAGCCACGATTCACGGTTGATCACTGACTTCGAGTATACAGCCCCCGAATCTTTCGAGAGGGTTAATCAAACTTGCCTGTCGGGGGAAAAAGACTCCCTTTTCCTACATAGATGAGGTCAGGGATCGAGGTTGGTAGGGGAGTTTCGTTTGGATAAAGACCGAGGATTTTATTCCTCCCGAATTCATGTCGTTCCATGAGAGGTGGAAATCGAATCGTAAGTTTACTTCTTCTTATGCCATCAAAGTTTATCCTTGTATTTACTTTTCCCACTCATGACATATCTCATCCGATGTGCAGCTGTCCCTCGAGTCCCCAATGCGGTCCCACATCAAAAGGAGTGGATCGAGGGTATATGCAAGCAGCTTACCTACTCCAAGCGTGAGTGGCGTAAGCTCTCCAAAGGCAAGTGAGAGGCTCGTTCCTATGGTGAGTGCTCTTTTCTAGAAGATCTCTTCATTGTCTCTCCTTATTTCATTATTGACACAATTCATTCCTTCTTTCACAGGCTTGCCAAATACCACCAAGCTTCGAGAAGCAGTCGATACTGTGGTATCGACCTCGTCTTCCAAACCATTTACCTCTCTACCGTCCGTTACCGAAGTTGTTGTAGAAAAGGAGGAGAAAACTAAGAAGAAAAAGAGATCCCCAGACTCCTCGGACGCTCCTGCCAAGGTCAAGAAAAGAAAAAGAATCATGCTCAGTGTCTGGAAGAGCACCAAAAAGTCTTTGGATGCCAGGGTCCCGAGTCCCAGTTTTCGAAGCTCTTCGTTAGCTCAAGGATTTTCCCGAGGATGACGAAGATATGGAATTCATCACCCACGAGCTGAATGACTCAAAAAACGCCATCAAGAGTTAGTGGCCCCTGGGGAGGATGCTCGTAAGGCCAAATTATCATTAACTCGGGGAACCAAAGAAAAGCATATGGATGCTGCTTCGAACTAAAGCCCCCCAGTCCCGAGAAGGGTCGTTTCTGAAGGCGACACCGTTATCCACATCCATGTGTCACCACCCCGGACGGAGGCCACTTTAAATGAGGATCAAGCCATTGAAGAGAAATTGACCGAAAAGTCCGGGG